CTGATTGGGATGATGGTTATGTAGATCATGATTTTGGTGATGACCCTGGTGACCCTGATGCTCCTGAGTGGACTAGTGAGAATGATCAACATGTTATTGATCTTATTATGGGATATGAGACGTTTAAAAGATTTCCAAAGAGACTTCAGAAGGCTAAAGATAGACGCGATGATCTGGAATTAGCCCGAGCAATGAGAAACCTCGATCTTAATGATGATGCTATGGATATTGATACTAATACCGCGAGTTTTGATGACTTGAAAATTGTTCCCGATGAGGAAGGTGGTTTTCGGATTTGTGCGGTTTGAAGTACAAAAAAAAAGTAAACTCGGATAAGGGTGTAAGTATCTCGAAACTTCTTAAATCTGTTCCAAAAAAATCAGTTAAAATGACTCCTATTAAGATTCCTGTGAAGGTTACTAGTAGTAAGCCCACACTTATAAAAGCCGTCACCAAAAATGATTCATTAAGTTTATTAAGGTCTGCAGATTTTAGAAAATTACTCCGCGAGATTCTTCGGGAAGAATTAAAGTCTGCTCGTAAAAGTACGAAGATTCCGGAAGACCTAGTTGAGGAAAAACAAGAAGAGTATATCAGGGAAGATGACCCGATGGATATTGACATAGCTCGTTTGGAGAATACTAAAGATCTTTTAGCGCTGGATGGGAAGGTCAATGGGATAGCAATTCAGTGTTTAGCAGACACTTGTGCTAACGCGTCTTTTATTCAGAGGTAAGCTTCTGAAGAATTAGGGTTGGATATCGACAAGAGTATTACATATAACATATCCGGCGCTCCGGGTTCTGGTAGGACATTCGGCATGGTAAAAGGTGTGTCAATCAAACTAACCCCTGATTGTGTAATCACTGAGAATCTCGCTGTTTTAAGCGATTACAAGCATAGGGAGATTGGATTGATCCGGACGTGTCTGAAACGTTACAATTATGATGTCCATGAATCTCGTGAACATATCGCCCTTACTTGTAATGAGAAGAATGTTTTTATCCCTATAGTTTCTGATGTGAATCGAGGAGACAAAAAATAGGGAATATTTATTTTTTATTCCCAAAACTTGCGGATTAAGGCAGGGACATCCTCCTCCAACCGGTCAGCGGGTTCCCAAGTGGCTTCGGTATCTGGGTATCGTTCCCACTTGACTAGATATTGGTCTTGACCCTTCCTGATGCGATGCCGGAGTATCCGCTCAGGTACAAATCTTTCGGGTTGCCCTCTTATCATGGAGTCAGGTGGGGGATGTTCATTTTCTGGAACAATCTGCAACTCTTTTTGGGTGTACGCACATCTGGATACACCTAGACGCCCGTGTGGTCCATCAAGAAGATACGTAGGAGGCTGTTCGGGTGAGAGGATCATTTTTTTGATGACACGGATATTGGGATTCCATCTTATGTCACCTGTACGAAATTTTCCATGGAGTTTATTCCCGAGTACTGAAATAGGTTCGTCTAACTTGACTCGGACATGTGTTCCTTCAGAGAGAAGTTCCGTCTTTTTTGACACTTTGGGTGACCCTGTTGGAATGTCTGGGGGATTTCTTTGCCAGATTTCATCTATTTTATTAACTACATCACGGAAATCTTCTGACCATTCCACGGATTTCACCCCGTTCTTCAACTTCTGTGCCACCATTCGTTTTAGGAGAGGTTCCTGGATTGCTTGGATGGCTCGTTCAGCGTATGATTGCTGTTTGTGTCTTCCTGGTTCGCCGAACCTCATCATTACCCCTAGGCTGTTCAGGAAAAAATCACGTACCTGGTCGTTAGTGAATTCTGATCCGGAGTCTGTCTCCAGTCTGTGTGTTGGTGGCTTAATACGATTTCTTCTGTAGATTTTGACAAACCCGTTTAGAACTCAATTTGCAGTCTTATCCTTTAGGGGTTCTGCATCAACTTGTTTACCCGTGACTTCCACCACTACGAGGAAATAGTGGAATCCTTTGGGGTCGACTGGCATCTCTGCGAGATCTGCCTGATGCGTCGCATTTGGTTTCCATACAACTACTCGTGGACGCTCTGATGACTTCTCCTTTAGGGGCTTTTCATATAGGTTGTAGTGCTCCTCACCTTTTAGAATTCGTGCTGTTACTCTGGAGAGATTGTAGTATTTGTATTAATTCTCTAAATGCGACATATTACGACAAATTAAAGGAAAGATTTCGGACTTCAAATCTTAAGATGACATGATTTTACTGCCTAAAGTGTAAGAAGGAAACCGAGACTGCTAGTGAAATACAAGATATGACCACAAATGGCCGCTATCATTTATATGGTGACTGTGTAGTTTGTGGGATGCATAAGAATACTTTTACTGGGATAGACTGGGTTATCAAAAAGAAAACCAAGGAGAAGAAAAAAGAAACCGCAGCTAAAAGACATCAGATGGCGTACAATCGGCAATGCAAAAAACTCGGGCAAAAAATTTTAGAGGCTGATGACGCGTGTAAACAGTGTATTGATAAATGCCTTAAGGAGGCAAAAAAGAGGAAGACGGATTAGTATCGCTTTCTAAAAGTATTCCTCATCATCTGAGTCATCGAGAGATACCTCTCCATCATCTGATTCATCGTCTGAGTCATCAAGAGTGCGGCCTTCTTTAAGCAATTGGATGTTATACGTTATTTGAGTCCATTTCTCCCAGTCGGACTCTTGCTTTATAAAGTCACATCTGAGGAGAGCTCTTTCTACTGCCACCATTCCTGCGAACCTAGTGTATTTTTTCTGATCGGCTTCATTGAAATTGTCAATGGCCTCCCTGTAGTAGTCTACTGCCTGTTTGTATACCTCCTC